AACTTCATTACAAAATTTGGAGAAGGCAAAATTTTTGAAGGCAAAGGAGGAAATGTTTTGGGATGAGCAGCTATTCATGTCTATGGGACATACCTGGTTTCAGTGCATTAACCTAATTTAATACGTGGCTTACAACATATAAAATGCCACAAATTCAGTCTATTAAAAATATATTTTAAAACATCAACAAAACATCAGTTGCTATTTGTCAGGGACTGAACTGACTGGACTTGGCTCCTCCCGGAAGAGGAGGGGGAGAGGAAAAATTCGCCCTCCCCTTGTTTCCAGCAGTTTCAAGAGGAGAAGAAGACATGGTTGAATTACAGGCAAATGAAGAGTTGCCAAGTTACGAGATAGTGCAAGAGGAGGGGGGAGTGAGAGAGCAGCCAGCAGAGACCTCCTGGGAGAGTCTGGGGGAGCCTCCTTCTCCAAGGGCTCATCAATCACTTTGCATTCCAGAACAGAGAATGCAGAGGCGTGTGACTCCTGGAACTTTCTGTAGGGACTCAGGATGCTGTTGGGAATAGAAGAGGAGGGACTCAGAGTAGGCAACATCTCCCTTGCATGGAGACATGGCCTCTTTTGTCTGGCACCCAGATGACTGAATAAAAACCATAAATACGAACTTGCTTTTTCTTCTTGCCTTTGATGACACCAGGGGAGGAGAGGATTCTCCATTCCTGACTTGGTTTAAAGAAAATGCATATCGCGAAGGCCGCACTAAACAGTGCAGTTTTCAGAAGACAACTGAAATAAGACAAGGTGTTTCCTTTTGAACCTCTGTGGGTGGAGAGTGTCAGGACTGGTACAAAATCCAATCACTCCCTGACTCCATACCTGAGAAATTCCAGGACATCTGCAGAGGGGCAGCAAAATTCTTCAGTAAAAGTTCAAAAGGGTACAGAAACTTACTGGATTCCAAGTAAGGCTTAAACTTTGCTCAAAAAGCATGTCCAGTTGCATAGACAAAAACAGTCAGAATAGTTAAAAATGCACACAGAAAGAAGTTATGAAGAACTGCTCAGTGGAAGGGAATCTATCACCCTGTCTCCAAGCAGTGACCTTGAGTCACAGACTCTTGGAACTAGACAGGTTAAGATGTTAAGATGAGAAAGTTCAGGAAGATTCCAGAAGGTTCTAGCAATTTCTACACCCATAAAACTGACAATCCTTGACAAAGAGTTCCACAGGAAGTTCCACCCTAAAGACTCAGTCCCCAGTAGAGGCAATATTTAACAGAATTATACTACAGATATATTTACAATCACAAAATATAGCTAGTCCTGTTGGCTAGCTAGATAGACAAGCATCTGCAAGTTTTGGAGAAAGAGCAGGGTATTTGTGAAGTAAATAAGAGAATAAATTAAATCCTGAAATGTGAAGAAGAAAACTCTGAACATAAACATGAAAAAATAAAGGATATTTCAGTCTTGTGCTGAAGATGACAAATAGAAATTTTAAAAAGAAAGGAAAAAACAAATCTTCAAACAGTACTTCTGCTCCATCTTCTAAAGGCTCCAAAGTTTTGTTCTGGTTTGGAAACTGATGTGGTAAAATCCTCGCAATCTGATCTCTAACCATGCACAAAGATGCTTTGAATCAAAAAAGTTGAAAAGGATCTTGGATATTTTGATTCTGACATGGAGTTTGCCTCACTCCTGAATTTTAAGAACAATCACAAAAAGCTAGCATTCATTCCTAAGGGAGATAACTTGCCAAGCTGCAGTACAAATCGACTGCTTGGTTATTCATATCCCAGGAAATTATAAAGTTGAACTAGAAAGTGGCACTATTCAGATCTAACTGTTGATCCAAGAACAATACCTTTAAAGAGTGAGGTTAACTCTCTGAAGAACTCGAGAAAAGAGAATTTAAAGTCTTTTATACTCAGAATTAGAAGTGGAACTAGGTGCTTTGTTCAAGGATCTTTTTTTAAAAAACAGAGATCTTATAATGTGTAAAAGAAACAACTTGTATATATAAAAGGCACTAGAGTACCATTGGCACACGTCTACATGGGTGAAGTAGTTCTTAAGTCATGCTCATTCATTAGAAAACTAATTAGAGTAACACAAAATTTTATGGAGGGAAATGGTGAACTATACCGCAGTGCTTCAGGAGCGTTTAATTCACGGAAGTCAACTGGGGGGGAGGCAGCAGTATTTGAAGGGGTGATGCAGCAGAGTGATGCTGTGCTTGACAAGATGGGGTAGGCTGGTGGCAAGGTATGGGGCTGGTGGTGGCAGGAACCCCCGCAGGAACACATGGACCTGCCTTCTCCCTGCTCACTGATGAGGACAGGGCAGTCCTCCCTGCTCATACACTCCTACTGCAATTGAGTCAATATTTGTGATGGGAGGGGCTTCAATATTTAATTAAAATCTATGTCAAGTTATATGCCCTCTATCAGTGCTTTCCCCCCTAAAAAAAATGTTTAGGGGTACTCTCATTTTGACTCAAGAAAATCACCATTTTATAGTTAAAATCAGGGGAAAAAATAGAGTAAACTGACAAAAGTACAAATTCACAAAATGTTTAGGGGTATGCATACCTCCAGAAAAAAAACATTGCCTTCTATACACCTGGAGAGCTCCACTTTGCCAGTTACACAATGTTCTTTTTTTAAAACACACACACACACCACAAGAATGACAAGCAGAATTTTATTCAAGAAAATAAAAGGATACTTCCCACCAACTAAATGCAATATATTATGTAATCATCATATATTTCTACAGGAAGCTTCTCTGATAAGTATTGCTGCTCTCAACTATTTCCCATTTTTAGCCATTGCTCTGACCACTACTTTAAATGAAAAATTTGGGCACCGACCAACATCCTGAAGTTCTATATATAAAACCCAACTTTCTCATTTCATATAGCTAATGTCTTTAATTAAAAACCATTCAGGAGCCTAGCAGCTGAATTCTAATGCAGATTTACTCATAATTTGGGCTAGATGCATACCATACCTTTGAAGCACACTTGAGATACATTTTTCCTGCTCAAAAAACCATGGCTACTGTCGTTTGTTACGGGTATTGGGGTAACTGTAACTCAGTGAGGGGTTAAACTACAATGCCCATAATTCTTTGAGGGGGAAATGTGCTTCAAATGTGTTTTAAAGGTATAGTTATGTATACAGTCCTAATTATACACAGCTCAGATTCTAGTATGTAGTGTCACACTGAGTTCTACAACAGCTATGCCCAGATAAGTGTGTTGGTGTTCACCATTCTAGCCTTATGTTGCAACTCTAGACACATTTAAACCAAAGTACTACTGAGTACAATAAATCTTATGCCCATGGAGCTTAGCACTTCAACCTAAGTGCACCTAACTCTGTTATGGATCAGGGCCATTTCTTATATCCACTTTTCCTGCAAACTGCAACATGGAGCCATTCATCCTGCTTTATTCCCACTCGATTCTTCAATCTCTTCTCACAGTAAATATATATTTTCTATTAAAATCTGCATGAGAGGTCTCCATTTGGAATTAATGCTAAAAGGCTGTGCAATCAGTATAGCTCAAAAAGCTGAAATATGTGCCCAGTGTGCCTTGACAGTTCATTTTCTACTAAATCAGCGTACCAAGCCCTCCTGCCAGATAGCTCTACACGCCACCTTTATTCTGTATGACCAAGCATTCAAAATCGCAATTATTTCCTGCTACCTGAAAACACACATGAAATTTCTCATCTGTATGTGAAAAGGGCACGGCTGTTGCAAGTAACAAAAACTTGTGGCAAATTTGAACCACATCTGCCTGTGCCAAAGATACGCTACCTGACTTTTGTGATATTAATTTTGAAATTCCTTTTGACTGCATGAAAGTATAGCTATCTTTTGTGAGGCTTGCACAACTGAAATCCAGAGCCAGTTTTATCAGCCATATGGCAAGGGCTGCGCATCTGCTGGGATGGGGGTGGCATTTTCTAGCGGTACCTGAAAATGAATATTGCATTTCTCTTCAATTGATTTAAAGGGTATGTCTGTTTGCTAATAACAAAGCTTGCAAAAATAATAATAATTGGGGTAGAGATACTTGATATGTTAATTTTGGAATTCTTCACGTGATTGGAGTACAACTATATTTTGAAATGCTAACAGGTTGTCAAAGTTCAGGCCCTCCCAGATCTTGAATGTGAGGTCTCCTCAGAAAGAGAAAGAAGATCAGGACCCTCTTGCAAACTTCAAACATTACTAGTGACCTTCAAGAGCCAATGGACCAGAATATCTCTGCCCCATATCAACTGCCTGGGTTCCTTGTCAGCCCTCAGACCCTCCCCTCCACTCCACCCCACAAACTTGCTTCATCTCCCCCAGGACCACTGCTAAAATGCCCAGCTTTTGAGATTATTTAGGAAGCCAGGATATATAAACTTCTAATCTGAGCTGCTTCACTGCTGAAGTAATAGCTCTCTTCCAAGCTGGGGGAAATGGACACTGGACTGGGGTCAGGGGTCAAGAGTCAGCATCATGGGACACATAGAATCATAGAACTGCAGAGTTAGAAGGGATCACAAGGTTCATCTAGAGCTAAGTATGTGACCTGGTGTGTAGCACTCTTTGCAACTGCTGCTAGGAAAATTAGAGCAAATTATAGAGCCAAGATAGCCACCAAGTGTAAAGGAGATGAATTTATTTGACCCTATCTACATCAAGCTACAGTCTATCTTTATCACCAAACTCCGAATATAAGTGCACATTGTATTAATTAACATTATTTTTTAATATATTAGGGGCCATGTGATGATTTTATTGTTTATTGTTTAATGTCTTAACCTGTATATTAAGGTACTTTTATAGCTCTGTTTAGAGTAGGTAATGTCTTGATAATATAAATGTTTTAAGTTTTTTTTATTAATCCAGCATATTTTCTTTTAGTTGTTGAATGATTCTGCGTACATTGCGGCAGCCTTTGGCTATGTGCAATAAAACTGACTGACTGACTGATAAGGTTCATCTTGTCCAACCCCCTGCAATGAAGGAATCTCTTGCCCAACATGGGGCTTGAAGCCACGACTGAGATTAGAAGTTACATGCTCTACCAACTGAGCTCTATCTATGATGAGGCCCACCCATATGCAAGTGGCCTACTGCTCGCCCCAGAATCTTCTGATCTTGCTGCTCCTCCTCCTTGTTGTTGTTGTTGTTGGATAGCTTCAGAAGAGGATTAGACACACCAGCAGAGGGCAAGGCTATCAATGGCTGCTAATCATTATGGCTGTATTCTACTTCCACTCTCAGAGGCAGCTTGCCACTGGGTACCAGTCACTGGAACTCACAGGTGAGGAGAGTGCTGTTACAGTCAGGTCTTGCCTGTGGGTTTGACATCAGCATCCGGTTGGCTACTCTGAGAACAGGATGTTGGATGAGATGGGCCTTTGATCTGATCCAGCGTGACTCTTATGTTCAGGGTACTAGTATGATGCATATCACCTCCTACAGTTGTGGAGGCTCCTGTACTCCTGTCTCCACCCCTGTTGTTCAGCCGGGAGACTGAGACAGTGGTGGAGCTGGGCGGTCACGCACCTGGAGCAGTGTACACAAGGGCAGGGCAATCCTTCCAGGGGGCGGGCTGATCTGCCCCTGGGAGGAGCGTTGTGTCAGTGATCCACCTGGGGAGGTGGCAAAATAGCCCCACAAGTGGATTGTAATGTTGGCAATCCATGGGTAGGTGACAAAATTGCTCCCAGAGCGGATTGGTGCGTCTGTGATCTGCCCGGGGGGGGGGGGCGATTTTGTCACCCCACCTTAGGCAAGACACCCAGGGAGGGGCACCCGTTCACCCCCTATCCCTATGTCAGTGCACTGAGACCCAGCTCCGAGGGCCTTCTAGCAGTTCCATCAATGCAAAAAGTGAGGTTACAGGGAACCAGGCAGAGGGCCTTCTTGGTAGTGGCACCCGCCCTGTGGAACGCCCTCCCATCAGATGTCAAGGAAATAAATAGCTATCTGACTTTTAGAAGACATCTGAAGGCAGCCCTGTATAGGGAAGTTTTTAAACACTTGATGTTTTACTGTGCTTAATGTTTTTCATTTCTTGGAAGCCACCTAGAGTGGCTGGGGCAACCCAGTCAGATGGGTGATATATAAAATTATCATCATCATCACCATTATGGAGAACTCTGGAAAACTGTAGTTCTCTCCCACACAGGGAGCCTATGCAAGCAGAAGCAGAAGCCTCCTTTTGGACAGTCACACATGGAGTCTATCATGCTTGCCCCACCTCTTACATGTGGATTAGTCAGAATGCCAGAAGAGGGCCCAAGAGACTTACATTTCTGTGATTTTAAATTTGATGAGCTCTCCCCCCCCCCATTTAACACTGCATTTTTAAAATATTGATGATATCATCATCATCATCATCATCATCATCATCATTCCATTTTCTACAAAGCGTTTTTGAGTTTGGGGAAAATATGCAATGACTTTGATAATTCTATCAAAAAAAACAGAACCCAAAGTCTGGGAGCGAAATATGTTAAATCTTGAATATAAAGATGAAACAAGAGTTTCTCCAGCACCTATGTCCTAATAAAACTTTAATGGCATGAGGCTGCTTCTTTGAGTGCTGTTATTGCCGGCAGAAAGAATATTTCTCAAGATGATATTAATCAAAACACAGAGAAGCTACAAATACCTTAACACTAATCTGTCTTCCTGACAGCATTTAATGCATCTGTCAATCATATTCTTTTTCCTTTTTTGTAAAGGACGGAATGCAGCTCTCTCCAGATAAAAAGATACAAAGGAAATAAGTAATTAATAGTATACTTGGAGCAATTACACAAGTTTCATTGTTTGTGTTCCTGATGTAAGCTCAAGTCAATAAATAATAATTTACTTGTACTATTATTAGATGGCATCATAATCTCAGTGGCAGTATCTTGAACATCTTTCCGGATCAAAAATCCCAGGCTGTTTCTTGGATAAAGCAACTTTATCTCTTTGTGTGTCTCTCCCTTGGTTATTATGCATGATGCCTCATCAACACAGTGTGTGGCACTATGAAAAGACAAAAACAAAAGACTCTTGAAGGATGCCAAACCATTATGACTTCTTGAATTGAGCAAATGTCCTAACAGGGGACACACATTTCCTCGTAATGCTCATTCATTATGATTCAAATCAGTATGTGTTTTGTTCTTTTTTAAAAAGAAAAAAAAAGCTGATCTACCAGTTTCTTTAGCATTTAGCTAAAAAGAACCTCATAATCAAGTGAGTTTGTTCATCTTGACTGACAGGATAGATTAGGCACATGCACATTCACCAGCAGGGGTGCCAACGTGAATAAAATATTGGGGAGGGGGAGCCAGGAAAGCCCCACCCTGCATAATTGATCACATGACCTGGTGAACACAACCATTTGAATGGCAATGCCATCCAACTTTGGAGAGCTTGGGGCTCTCAAATATTTTATTGGGGGGCAAATAGAAGGGGAAGAAATGGAGGCAGTGAGAGATTTTACTTTCTTGGGCTCCATGATCACTGCAGATGGTGACAGCAGCCACGAAATTAAAAGACGCCTGCTTCTTGGGAGGAAAGCAATGATAAACCTAGACAGCATCTTAAAAGCAGAGACATCACCTTGCCAACAAAGGTCCGTATAGTTAAAGCTATGGTTTTCCCAGTAGTGATGTATGAAAGTGAGAGCTGGACCATAAAGAAAGCCGAAGAATTGATGCTTTTGAATTATGGTGCTGGAGGAGACTCCCATGGACTGCAAGAAGATCAAACCTATCCATTCTTAAGGAAATCAGCCCTGAGTGCTCACTGGAAGGACAAATCGTGAAGCCGAGGCTCCAATACTTTGGCCACCTCATGAGAAGAGAAGACTCCCTGGAAAAGACCCTGATGTTGGGAAAGATGGAGGGCACAAGGAGAAGGGGATGACAGAGGACGAGATGGCTGGACAGTGTTCTCGAAGCTACCAGCATGAGTTTGACCAAACTGCAGGAGGCAGTGGAAGACAGGAGTGCCTGGCGTACTCTGGTCCATGGGGTCACAAAGAGTCGGACACGACTAAACGACTAAACAACAAAAGCCCCCTTGTGGCTCCCAGGAGTTGGCTTCTATCTTCACAATCTCTCTGATCCTTCCCCACTGCAATGATATTTTCCAAGTGTTTTGGTAAAAAGGAACACTGAAAAAGCCCAATCAGTTTGCAGGGTGAGCTAGAAGAGAGGCGTATTGCATATCAGAGTCTCCACTCCTGTGCTCACAAGCAAAATATAATCTTTTCCTGGTGATACAGCAATACATTCTCGGCATGCCAGTTCTTGAAATCAAAAATTCTGGCCCTGTGCAGCACTGAGCCAAGAACAGAGTTGGGTGCGTCCAGAGCCAGAGCCCAACATAAATCTCTCTCTTTTTTATCATCTAAGGTGTACAATTCTGGGGTTCGGGGAAGACCAACTTGTCTTTTTTGGTAGCTGGCTGGAAAGCAAGCCCGCTAAACCAAGGTTTGGCTTAATATGTTGTGTGAACGGCAACTTCATAAAATCAACCAAATCCCCAAAGTATTCAGGCACTGGTAAATAAGAAAAGGTTTTAACTGACAGTGAAATGTTAAGAATTGCAGCTAGGAAGGATGTTGCCCTGTCTGTTTGGCTCAAAGAAGAAGGCTCTATCTGTCTTAGTCTTCGCCTTGTATCTGAATGTGGAAACGTATGGAGTAGGACATCAGTAGAAGATCTTACTGTGTGGGCAAGGTCCTGTTGGAGAAGGTCCTTTAGAGTCTCACTTCCAATGAGGCTTAGAAGCATGGGTGACATAAGTGCAAATAACTCCTACTTTCTTTCTTGCTGCTTCCCTGGAATGCTCCTACTGGTCTAATTAGTCTATTGGTTTGCAGGGAAGAATACATACAAAACAATGTAAGATAAAGCAAATTGTTTTCACACTCTGATTTGCAAGGCATGCTGATATTGTGACTATAATATCATTAGGATTCATTACAAAATTACAATGACAATTAAAGTCAACTGTGAAATACCAGTTCAGGAATGACTCTACGTATTTTAAAGTAATATAATTACTCCTTGTCCTGCCGAGAAATGCAGTTTATGTAAATTTCATTTATGCTTTGTCTGCTTCATTTCTTTTCTTCAATCTCATAATTGCTGCTGTGAAGAGCTAAATTCTGTTCATTTCCACCCCTATTTACCAAAGATACTCTGTTTTCTGTACCTCTTCCTGATAAATCACTGGCTCCATTTGGGGAAATTTTGTAACTCCATTAACTTGTTTGTTTCTTCATATCAAATACAATGGTTTCCCTTTTTGCCACTTCTCTGACTGCCCCCACACCCATAACGTCCTACCCAGATAAAAATTGTTAATGAATGCTTTGAGTTTTGTTATTTTGTACCTAGCATATCCACTGTGACATTAAACATTCTATTATTAAACCATCATACATTTTAGAAAAAGATCAAATGTTATGGTCAGCTTATGAACATCCCTGCTTTAAAATCCAGCACAGGATAGGCAGAAAACCCCATGGAGAGAATGCAAATCACTGATTAGAATAAGGACTTCCCAGTGATACCTTTGGGCTTATTTTCCCTAAGCATTTGAGCCATTGGGTGGAGAGGGTGATTTTAGTTTTAATATTGTTGAATCAGGCCAGAAGCACTGCCTTAGGCCGAAGAATGGGGGGGTGCAGTGTCCCGTCACATGCCTGTGATGTCACACATGTGACACAAGACACTCGCTTGTGATGTCATATGCATGATGTGCATGCACCACTGGGAGGAGGCACACCATTGGGAGAAGGCCTTGCCAAGGGCTGTGCAGCTTCAATGGCCACAGCTCCTCCTCTCTCGTGCTCAGGAGGAACCTGCTTTTGATGAGGTGCTGCACTGTGCTTGACTCAGGGGCTCAGCCTCCTCCACCCCCTCAATATTGGGGGGCTGAGCCCCATGCTAAGGAATATTGAGGGGGCTGATGACACCTCCACCCTCTAGGGTTGGTACGGACTATCCTAAGATGGAATGTGACTGCGCCATGGTTTATATAACAATACAATACTGGTTGTTTGTTTTCACTCCCTCGCTTAATAATCCCTTG